TTGTTTTCTTGTCTCTTTCTATAGTTGGGAGAAATCCTCTTAGTTTCACAAAAATCTTGATTTATATTGAAATATTACAAATCTTCTCCTAGAAAAATCAATTTTGTTTTTGGTTTCCTTTTCCCTGGGTTCATATTGGGTAAGTTTTGTTTGTTTATATGGAATATACTCTTCTTCTCCAAATAATTTGACCAATAGAATTTTCCTTGAGATTTATATTTGTTCTTTTGGTGGGTGATGCTAGAGACAATGTTTTCAAACCCGAACCGGAGGTCAAACCGTTTTGACCTCCGGTTCGTGGTTTGAACGGTTCAACCGGTTTAACCGGTAAAACCGTCGGATTATTCAAATACTATAAATATATGATTTTGCAAAAAATATCACACGGTGTAGGTGGGTTGCACTGGTAGATGGCTGATCTTCTATAAGAGAGATCTGGAGTTCAAGTCCCTCCAATAACAAATTTCAATATAATTGTGCTTTAAATGTAGAATTAGAATAAGTATATTGTAAAGCATTAAAATGACAAAAGAACATTGTGTTCAAGTGGAAAAACCGTTGTTCTACAACATGAAGATCAAGTGTTCGAATCTCAAGCTTGTAATCAGTAATATGGTTAAAATCTTTGGAATTTATATGGGTTAAATATAAGTCCAAGCACCCATTGACCAAAGGATTGCATTGTCCTGGTGGCAAAGGATCAACCTAAAGACTCTAAGGTTGCAAGTTCAAATCCCGGCGGACAAAAATTTCTCAAAATTTTATGCCCAAGCATTGAACCGTCCGGTTGAATGGTTTGAGCGGTTTCAAACAGTTCACCGGTTCAAGCGGTTTCAAATGGTTTAACCATTCAAACGATTCAAAAAGTGTAACCGAACCATTTAGATCACCGGGTATCGGTTCAACCGGTCCGACCGTCCGATCCGGTCCGGTTTTCAAAACCTTGGCTAGAGGTACTAGTGATTTTCTACTTCCTGTTTATTAGTGGATCAGGTGAAAGTCATATGGCTTGGGCATGTTAGCGAAAGTTGCAAAGGGATTGTCTTGAAAGTGTTTGTAAAAATGCCTCAATCAACAAATTGAATATCAAATTTATTGTTGTTATCTTAATCCAAATAGTGAATTTGGAAATACATGTATTTTAATACATCCCTCAAATACAAATTCAAGTTCCAAACATATCCTAATTGAATTTTGAGATGAACTTGATTTTTCTTTTTTTACCATAAAGATGGTGAACTTAATTGAGTTAAAGCAATTTGGAGATATATAAATAAGCATAAAGACGAAATTCAACATGAAATTGAAATTTGATAACAGGCAGATGCTAATTTTATATTCTACATGTGATAGCTGGACATGCATGCCAGATTTTCTGGTTACATGGCAACATGTTATGCTATGCTTATAGTATTGAGATACTAAACCATGCTTATGAACTGATGCAACTCTTTTCTGATCTTATCTGGTGCCTATATTCTAATGGCACAAGTTTATAGCTACCTCTTTTACTATATCTTTGACAATTTGACCTAAACTGTAGTTTTCTAAATTTAATTGCACTGTTTCCAAAATCTTCTATGTAGTATAGAAGCCATGTTTTCCCAAATGCATGTATGCTGTTCACTACAAAAAGGGTTTCTAAGTTAGTCATGGTTAAAACCTGGCCAAGGGAGGGTTATGGCAAAACTCTGGCCACTCTGGCCAAGGGAAGGTTATGGCAAAACTACCATAGCTAATAAATTGTTAAAAGATAAACAAAAAGAGGAAAAAGGCACTAACCTCTCTTGGGTGGATCGGAGGTAAGGTTCCAGATATTTCACCTCCAACTTCATCCAAATAATCCTCTTTCTCAAATACTTGATTCTTCTCAAATACTTCAAGCCATTCTCATCACTATCATCCTCATCCTCAAACTCATTTTCATTCACTTTCTCATCCTCAGCATCCTCCTCAGCATCATCAGCATCATCTTTCGGATCATCTAAATATGGAAGACTACCAGTTAACAGAGATAAATTAGTTCATGATCAACAAATGTATATGCATATTAGAAATCTAAAAGTTTGACAGAAAATAAACAAAAAAAAAAAAAGGAAAAAAGTACAAATTGGAATTTTAATATTTCATACCTTCTGCTCTCTGTGTTCGTTATTGTGCACAGGATTTCGTTTTTTTCAATGGGATCTGTTTGCCATTCACTAACAACCAAGAGAAATATAATAGTTGAGAGTCAATAGATAAATTTTCAGAAATCAAATAAATTATTAAAAATAAATAACAAAAAAAAAGGGAAATTGGCGCTAACGATGGCAGCCCACTGAAATATAGTTTGCCTCGCAATGAATGGTGCATTGATTCCATTTCGAGTTCTTTGAACCCTTCCTCGATTTCTTCCACCTTCTTCTTCCACTCCTCAGCCTCCTCCAGTAGATACTTGTAGGCTTTCCTCAACTTCACTCTCCTCAACTTCACGTCCCTCAACAGCTGTTCCGACTTCACCCTGCGAAGGCCATCAGTCTTAAACATCATCGCTTTACAGTAGGTTTTAGCTTCCCTCGGATCGGAAAGTTCCGAACGATGCAGAAGAAGGAATATCCCTTTGGCCAGCGCCGGTGGAACAATATCCATCTTTGATTTCACTTGAAAAGTGAAAATCTCTAGGGTTAGGGTCCCAGACGATTTGGCATATAAAAGGGCGAGAGAACTTGAAATTTTGTTTTTGCCCTTATGGTTTTCAGCCAAGGGTGTTGGTCTTTTCGTCTTTTTGCCTACGTCACTTTTGCCCTTTTAACCCGTTGAAAAAAAATAAAAAATAGAAAAAAGGCCAAAAACAAATGAATAGTCAGAGAATAATAACCTTCATGCCTTGGGTAATTTGCATGAAGAGGCGAAAAAACCCGGTAAAAGTAACACTGTAAAAGGGTATTTTTGGACATTTACATGAATTGCTTTTTAAATTCCTGTAAGATTTTCTAATGAATGTGGCCTACAAATATATAATTCAAACAGAAATTAATCTTCACTTATAAAGAAAAAATATCACTAAATTCAACTAAATTAAC